GCTTTTCTAAATGGTGAAATTGCCGAACTTGTCTTTGTTTAACAACCTCCCGGTTTTGAAGATCCTAAAAATCCTAACCATGTTTATAAACTCTCAAAAGTTCTTTATGGTTTAAAACAAGCTCCTAGGGCTTGGTATGAAAGATTGAGAGATTTTCTTTTGTCAAAGGATTTCAAAATTGGAAAAGTTGACACCACCCTTTTCACAAAAATCATTGGTGATGATTTCTTTTTGTGTCAAATTTATGTTGATGACATCATATTCGGTTCTACTAATGAGGTATTTTGCAAGGAATTTGGTGATATGATGTTTAGGGAATTTGAGATGTCCATGATTGGAGAGTTGAGCTTCTTCCTTGGACTTCAAATCAAGCAACTCAAGAATGGGACGTTCGTGAGCCAAACCAAGTACATCAAGGATCTACTCAAGAGGTTTGGCTTGGAGGATGCGAAGCCCATCAAGACACCTATGGCAACCAACGGGCATCTTGACCTTGATGAGGGAGGTAAACCGGTAGATTTAAAGCTTTATCGTTCCATGATTGGTAGCTTGCTTTACCTTACCGCATCTAGGCCGGATATCATGTTTAGTGTTTGCATGTGTGCATGGTTTCAAGCCGCTCCTAAGGAGTGTCACTTAGTGGCCGTGAAAAGGATTCTAAGATATTTAAAGCATTCCTCTACTATTGGCTTGTGGTACCCAAAAGGTACTAAGTTTAACCTTGTTGGCTATTCCGATTCGGATTATGCCGGTTGCAAAGTGGATAGAAAGAGCACATCCGGTAGTTGCCAAATGCTTGGTAGATCCCTTGTGTCATGGTCATCCAAGAAACAAAACTCTGTAGCCCTCTCTACCGCCAAGGCGGAATATGTTTCGGCGGGTAGTTGTTGTGCCCAATTGCTTTGGATGAAACAAACATTGTGGACTATAGCATATCCTTCACCAAAACCCCACTCCTATGTGACAATGATAGTGCCATAAAAATAGCCAATAACCCGGTCCAACATTCTAGAACCAAGCATACTGACATACGCCATCACTTCCTAAGAGACCATGTTGCCAAGTGTGACATAGTCATTAGCCACATAAGAACCGAGGATCAACTAGCCGACGTATTTACTAAGTCTCTTGATAAAACCCGCTTTTGCAAGTTGAGGAATGAGTTAAATGTCATATATTTCTCTAATGTGGCTTGAGATGGTGCACCATGGTTGCTTCTTTTTGCATTATGTATATTTGCTCTCATTTGCTTTATGTATATTTGCTCTCATTTGCTCTTATGCTTTGGATTTGTTGCCATTTGGTTCTTCATTGCGAAAATGGAGCATGTCACATTAAGGGGGAGTTTTGCACTCTTGCATGTGCTCTACTTCCCTTTATATGTGAGCAAATCAACTAGTGGTGCTAGTAGTATTTTCAAAATGCCTAAGTCAACATAAGTCAAAACTTTTGCAAAATCAATGTAATTTGAAAACTATCTCTTGGAAAATGTTTCAAAAGGTTTCCTATATGTTTTCTAAGCCTCACATTGCAAGAAAAATGATTTCTGAATGAAAATGTCATTTTGGCCCTCTTTTGAAGAAACTAGATTCTTAGTTTTGGCCAAAATGAGAATTATCCCCAAAATGAGATTGAGAAGGAATTTGAGAAAAGTTTCAAAACAAAGTTGGTAGATAAGAAGTTTTGAAATGTTTTTGGTATTCAAACCTATTTCAAAAACCAAATCATTTAAAAGTTATTTGAAAATCAAATTCGCCCAAAAACCCGTATAGACCATAAAAGGTCACCTCCTAGCACTTAAGTGAGTTTTGTTGCAAATCATCATAATCTTCAAATATTATGGGTGGTTAGCAATATTTAAACTCACACATTTCAAAAATTGCTCCAAAAATCAATTTTTTTATTGAATTTTATTGTGTGGGGGTTGTCGGCTTGTGCAAGGGCTGTGCACAGCCGCCAGGGGGCCTGGCAGTCTGACCGACGCTATATGCGTGGTTTGACTATCCAGGTGCAGCGGTCTGACCGGCCACATAGGGCCGGTTGTCACATCCTGATTTTTGTTTCGGGATTTATAAATTATTTAATAAATTATTATTAGAATTTATATTAAACGTTCATTAATTTACAAGTGAACTTAAATATGGGAAATAAAATTTCCTTAATTTAAAGCATGGATGGATTTAATTTGTATTAAATTCTCCATGATTAATTATACTCTCTGCAATATTCTCGGATTTTTCGGAGCTCAATTCCTAATTTTAATCATACAAAGAGCATTTCAGTAATTACCCACATATTAAATTAATCATTAAATGGTCTAATTATAATTTTTAAGTACTTTGAGTGTCCAAGTATTTTCAGGATTTTTCTTGAAATTATTTGAGCATTGGAAGTATTTTTAACAATTCAAAGATCATTTAAGTGATTATTTTAATTGGAAAAGTAATAAAATTCTCCTCCCTTGTCTTAGGCTGAATCGGCCCATTCCTTTCCTTCCTCTTCTCTCCCTCCTCGCGCGCGTGTTGTGCATCCCACGCCGGCCCAACCCGAGCCTGCATCCTCTCTTCTTCTCTCAGCCAAAGTCCGGTTTTGCTCCCTCTTCAAATCAGGCTGAGAAAAGAAAAGCCCGGCAAGAAGTCTACTTTCCTTCCCCGCGCTACTGTTCATCTTCCAGCTCTGGACTGAGCCAGAGCCGAGCCGTGCCGTGCCTGTTGGCTGTTGCCGCCGATCCCCTTCCAAAATCCAACCTCTCCGTTGCTCTTATTTTCGAATTGGTTGCGGGAATGGAATCCTCTCAATCTCCTCTTCCTTGTCCCCAAGAAATCCCCAAAAGTTTATATGGAAATCCTTTCCAATTTCGCGGTTCAACCTTTCCTTTTTCCGGCGAAGATCTAAACTTTCCCGAGTTTTTCCCGTCGTTGTGGGCTCGATCCTGGCCTTCCATGGCTATATATAGGACCCCCTTGTCCTCCTCTTTCGTTTGCCCCCTCTCCCGTGATCTCCCGTGCCTCGTAGCACCGCCGCCACGTGCTCCACCCCGCCATCGTCGCCGGCCGAGCTCCATCCGCGTCGCGCCGCCGCCTCCGTCGTCGCCGCCGGTCGCCGTCACCACCGTTAGGTGCGCGGGAGGGTGGAGAAGCCCGGCCGCCTGACCCCCGAAGCCGCCGACCACCGCAGCTCCGGTGCCACCGCCGACCGAAGCCGCCGCTAGACCCGTCGCCGGCCGTCGTCGTTCGTCGTTTGGTTCGAGGGTGAGTACCGTTGGGTTCGTCTCGTCGTCCTCTACGTGTTCATATCCTCCAAAGTCGCAGCCGACCATCCAATCTCCGGCGAGGTCGCCATCTTGGTCCGGCCATTGATGAGGTCATCATGACGTCATCATCGTTTTTCTTTTTCCTGTTTTTCTAATAGATTAAATCTTCGGAAATTCATAACTAAATCATCGTAACTCGGTTTTGAGTGGTTCAAGTTGCTAAATTCATCTAAAATCATGATCTACATGTTAAAAATATCCACATGTACTGTTTATGCTTGTTTTTGTACTGTTTATTTAGTTTTTATTAGTCTTTCTCTTCGTTTTGCGTGTTAGCTTGTCGTTTCCGTCGTTGCGAAGGTTCGTGAGTGCGTCGGGAGTGTTCAGAAGATTAATTGAAGACTGATTATTGCAAGGCAAGTCACACAGATCCCAAACAACCCTTTGAGCATGTTGATCCCGTTTAAAGCTATTGTTTCTATTCAACTATTGCATTTATTTTCGAATGTCATTGGGTGGAATTAACCTATTGTTTGTTATAACCCTTTTGTTCTTGATTACTTTATTCCTTGATACCTTGGGTTATTATAACTTGACTAGTTGGGCTTTATATATTGGTTCAGCTAGATATTAGTTATGATTGCTTAGCCATGCTTAGAAACATTAACACACTATTGGGATAACTTATGACTCACTATTATTTAATTATGGCTTAATGATAGTTCACGATGGTCAATCGTGATTGGTTAATTAATTACTTGCCAACTAAAACTTGATAATGGTGGGTTGTGAGCACATGGTTTTGAGAGTTGTGCTCATGGCAATTAAGGACCGGTTCGCGAGCTACTGTTGTGAAACATTAACCGTGCCAACCACAAGCTAGCGTGGGCAACGGCTTTACCTTTTGTATAGCATGGTTCATTGCGGAGCACCAGACTGAGAAGTGGCGGAGATAAGCCCACGGGGGTCGCTGGGGAGTCCATGCCTTGTTTTATAAGGGGGTGATTATGATCCAGGAATGGTGCACTGTGGTGAGTTGTGTTGTGCAGAGGGTATTGTCACAGCCTCTATTCGGGTACTTTCCAGTATCGCGACGCATGGTAGACATGATGTTGAGGCTGTGTCTTGTGGGTACAGTGGTACACCTCTGGCCAGAGTAAAACTATTCGAATAGCCGTGCCCGCGGTTATGGGCGGGTTGAGCAATGTTTTTCGTGATTAGTCTCACACCTCTCACAATAATTATGGATGTTATACCTGGTAATAATTTGCTTAGCTCCTGGTTTGGAGTTAGATCTGTACAGCCGGGTATGGTTGTTCAGGATGGTTGGGCCTGTGCAACATGGGTGTGTTGTTCAGTGTTGATTAAAATTTCTGATTAATTACTCCACTGTTTTACTTCTCTTAAATGTTTTGCTAAATGCTGCTTTTGCAAATGAGCCTATATTATGCCATCCTTTGGTATCCTTGTGCACTTGCATATTTGCTGTGTGGCTTGTTGAGTATATCATATGCTCATTCTTGCAATAATCAATCAACCTCAGTTGAAGAAAAAGGATCCAGAAGGAGAAGACGTTTGGCTTATACCCCAGTTGAGCTGCCTGTGGGAGTGGAGCTGAAGCCATCGCTAGACCGTTAATTCCGCTGCTGTTTTTCTTTTTTTTTAAGTATGTAACGTTATTATTATGATGGATTTGTATATTAAATTGTCAGTTTATGTACCTCGGCTGATTCCTGGACGAGGATTTTATGCACAAATTAGTTCGAAAATTATTAGTGAATTTCCGGGCGTGACACCGGTCTGACCGGCCGGCAGGTGGGCCCAGGACTTTTGTCCTTTTTCTTCTCCCTTCTTCCCCTACCCGACCTAATCTCCTCCCATTCAACCATCTTCTTCCCCAACTCGAAAAAAACTCATCTCTCCTCTCCCAAACCCTAGCCACCTCCCTCCATCAAATCCATTCGGTTTGACCGCGGATTTCTCTCCGGTTACACCGTAAGTGATTCTCCTCCGCTTCCTCTCTCTATTCCATGGATTAGTTTGTGTTTTTGTTGAGTTTTTGATCCATGGCATGGAACTCTAGGTGAAGCACGAGGTGTTCTTCGATTTGCACCAATAGAGGGTAGTTTCTTGGTTTGATTCAACTCCTCCAACCGGTAAATCACTCTCCCTCTTGTGCATTCTCTCAAATCAATCTATTTCACCCTAGGGCTATGGGTAGTTATTCCAATCTTGATGAAATAGGTCCAACCCTTTGATGTTCTAGTTCCACTCTTGTGCAATATTGTTCTAGCAATTTTTAGACTCAAATGAGTAGATGTGAAAATTTTTGGATGCTTGAACTTGTGGGAGGAGGTCTGCCCGGAGACACAGGCGGTCTGACTGTGGGTCAGCCGCCGGTCTGACCGGCGTGTGCGCGCGGTTTGACCGGCCGTCAGTCGTCGGTCTGACCGGCCACCGGCAGGCGGTCTGACCGGCCTGATATCGTCGGTCTGACCGCCCTACTGGCTGTGGTCTGACCACCCCTCCACAGGATATAGGCAAATTTTCACCTCTCCAAATTGTTTCTAGAATTATTGCTAATATCTATCATCCTTTGCTCTTTGACAGTGATGCCTCCCCGCACTCGCCATGATCGTCGTGCACCCACTCCGAATCCCGTGAGTGAGCCTGAGGAATCGAGCGGAGATGAGTACGCTCAAAGTGATGAAGAGGTTGAGGCCAATGTTGAGGGGGATAGTGAGGAGGAAAGTGGAGATGATGTCAGTAGAAGTGGAGAGGATGAGGATGAAGGAAGTGATGATATATGCACATTGATCCCTCCATCCAGTTTGTTGTGAACATGAGGAATCCATCACAATATACCATCTTGAGGCACCATGATCAGTTTTTGAGGCCTCGGGACACCCCGGATCCCCGTTTTCACACCGCTTTCCAGAAGAGTGTGTATGAGCAAGTTTATGCAGGGAAAGCTTTTGCAGAGCATAAGGGGATTTCTTGGAGAGACATCAATGTCCAGAGTTTGAGGGGTTGCAGGATCTCTTCAAGACTGTTAGCATTGATCGGATTGTTACTCTCAAGCAAGACTACAATGAAGATTTGATCCGGCAGTTTTATGCTACAGTGTGGGTGGCTGGAGACAATAGTGAGATGAAGTGGATGTCCGACACCCTCCAGTGTTCTATCTCTAGGAGGCAATTCCGGCGGCTCCTCAATATTCGCTTGAACTTTGAAGATGACTTGCATGAGGAGCACACTCACAATCCGCTCTCCATAGACTACCTCTCTCAGTTTTATGAAGATGGAGTGCGGTACACACATGGGAAGGTTGCCGGCTTGAGGACCATCCCCAGTGTGGTTAACAGGATTGTGAGAGCTACCATCCTCCCTCGCCTTGGCAACAATGATGACATTATGGGGGCGGATTGGCACGTCATCGATGCCATCATTCAGGGCCGTCAGTTCGACATTGTGTCTCTTATGATGCAAGAGATTGCCATCTCCAAGGGGACCTTCACTTAGGGAATCTATTATGCCCCTTACATCATGAGGTTGATTCAAGACAAGCTTGGGGCTGCTGGGCAAAATTTGAAGAAGCACAAGCAGTACAAGCCCCGCCTTTAGCTTGGAGCTCCCCGTGCTCCTAGGGCGGCGCCCTCCTCTCATCCTGGAGCTAGCTCAAGCTCAGCACCTCCTCCTCCTCCTGGGTATTATCCAAATGCTTTCATCCTTCCACTTCATCTTTTTACCGGGAGTAAAAAGATACCAACCGGGACTAAAGATCATAAAATGCTATGGGCTTTTCAACCGGGGCTAAATATGATTTTTAGTCCCGGTTTTTTTAATGAACCGGAACTATTGTGAATTTTGGCCGACCAGACAAAGATGGTTTCTCCAGTAGTGAAAGACAGATAGCGTATGGAGACAGTCGATGGACAGAGCAATATATTGTGCTAGCGGCCGAAGTGGACGGGGACGGTGAGATGAGTGGAGGCTGCGCCGGCTGTTAGAGCGGACGCAACAGGTGTATGACGGCGGACCGGAGGCGGCGTTGGCTAGCGACGCGGAAGCCCTTTCCTACGGGAGCAGCGTCTCGTCCCACGTGCGAAGACAAGATTGGAATTGGAGGCGCCTCGCCCAGGGTTTCCCAAACCACCAGGGCCAGAGTTACCATGGTAACCGCGCCGTGGCAAACCGTACGAAAACTGTATAAAATTTATCAAAATTTTAAATTATTTTTAAAATTTATTTGAATTTAAGGAGATTGCCGTGGTTTTCTTTTTACAGGACCCTCCGGTAACCCTGGTCTCGCCTAAGCCTTCCCTTCTTCTGGCTTCATTTCTCTATGGTTTCGGAGGCACAGAAGAATTAGGGACTGGTTTGGGTAGCTGTTGGAGCCCATAAATCCCAGGTAATTAATATATAATTGCTCTAAGGTCCAAGAGAACTACAAACTAAACATTGAATTAAGCATAACAGCCACAACACATCAAAGAGGCTTACTAATTACCATTAACCTGTATACAAAACAGAAGGTTGTAAATTTGCTTTATTAGTTACGAAATAATTTCAGAACATTTTACACTGGTACACTCCAACAATGAAATGCACTCACCCAACATCTAAACTACTCTCCCCCACTGATGGAAAGTATATCGGATATGGTTTGTGTGGCATATATTACTGCTGAAAACTCCCTCCCAAGTAGGCCTACAACAATAAAAGAAAGAAGATTAGTCTATGCTTGCCGATGACAATGGTTTGAAGGTTGACAAATTAAGCAATGAATTTTACAATCCCATAGGAAAGTATACTACAGTTATCCTGCATTCAGTCAAAATTATAACACCTCTTGGGGAGCTCTGTTATCTCTCTGTCATATCAAGTTATCAACAGCGGTGAAAGGAACAACCACGCAGTTGTGATGCTAAAATAACTTTTCTTGCTCAAATTTTAAGGTGCTAGTGCTAGTAAAAGTGTTTTCCGCATTTAAGAGAAGAAAATGGATGGGCATATAGTTGGATTGGAAAACTTTAACTATGGGGTAATTTACTCTACATATTTGAGAAAACTAATTAAGTAGCATATAGAAAGAGCTAGTTTACCCAATTAATGCATTTAAACTGACTATTCATTGATGCAAATAGGTGGCATTAATTGTCTGGACAAAGATTCTTTTTATAGTTCAAGGTGAATCACCGGGATACATAAGAGCCACATCTATCCTACCATCACTCCTTAGTGGGCTATAGGAAATCATCTCTATTTTCAACGGCAAATACTTTGCGACTATTCTGAGCTCATAGCTAGTAATTCAGTTTTAAAAGACAGATAGCTGAATATAATTATGAAAACTTCAATAATTCCATCAAAATAGGTATTGCAGAAGGCCTGGATGACTAAAATTAAGATAATAAGTTATAACTCACAATAGAGAAGGATGATAGGGAAAAGGAAGGGAAAAAATATCCTGCAGACAAATATACACCATATTAGCATGCAACCCAAAATTGAGCATATTAACCATTCAATGATCTATCAGCTAAGAGAATTAAAAGTGTAAAGAAGGATCTAATCCATTTGGTCCAATGATATATAGCAATGCTAGGATAAGTATAGCAGTCGTACAACAAAAATACTGAAAATGGCATGTAGATAGTAGAGTATCGAAGCAAATCGGATCTTCCTGCATATAAATCATCCATTTAACTTAAAATCTAGTTCTATTAGTGCCAAATCTAAGTCATCTAGAAACTACATTAAGAACTAAGTGGGCAGTGAGAGCAAACACACAAAGAAAAATGCTAATCAGTAAGTGACTAAAAGCCTACCTAATGCTTGAAATACAAAGAGCTTCAAAACACATATTGTCTGTACATTATCTATAAGAGCTCCTCTGACGTTACATAGCATGCAATTTGAAATGTCCCATTTGAATGATATGACTTTATGTAGAATTGCAACACATTTTTTTGCTATGACTTGTCCACATAATAGAAAAATGGTAACATAAGCATATGCTATTTTTATTTCGATGCTGAATTTGAAAAATAGAACATATCAGTCGGCTAGTTCGTACAATTGCTTCCATGTAGGAAAATATAATATGTCAAACAGTAGTGAAGTATTATCAATGCAAAACAGCTTTAAGTTCAGTTAACCAATAAATTTGAAAGCAGCAACAGTACCAAAACACATATGTCCTGACAGTATAAGTTGGCGATCTGCCTTAGTATGGATTTGTGCCCTCACACGTGCTTTTTTGCAAACACCTAGAACATTGTCCCTCTGTAAAAAGCACATTATGCATATCCTCCCTGCAGCAAGTTTAGAAAATAAATTGTTGATTCAATATTAAGATGCAAAATTAGGATCAGGGGATATTCATAGATCGATCCAGATTTTTATTTAATGATGGATAAAGATGGTACCAGTCAGTAGCTGCATGACGTAGGAGACGGTGATGGCCCCAGCAGCTGAGTTGATGAACTCGGCAGACTGTTTGTCGAAGTAATGAATGACGACTTGAACTATGTAACTGAACAAAATGGTATTCAACTATTCATGCAAATGGGGAATGATGGAGTGAGGGTGAAGTAGAAGAAACGGGGTTGGAAGGGAAGAGTGGGCATAGGTGTTCACCTTGAAAGGAGAGACGGTAGATCAGCTTGTCTGAACAACAGCAGCGCCTAACGATGGAGACAGATACGCCCTGGACGCTTCAGGAGTTGGGATCCGGAAGGCTCAAATGATTCGCATGATATGGGTAAATACCACATCTCGAGCTCGAGCTCGCAGACCATCGAGATGATGCTATGTATTGATGCTGCCAATATGGCAATCGATGTGGGACGAACTGCCATTGATGGGCCGATGACGATGGAGGAAAAAACCTGCGAGGGCGCAAGAAGAGTGAGAAGAAGAGAAGGGGAGGGAAAGAGAGGGGCACGCACGCCATGCCCTCACTCCGTTGCGTGAGGCGGGGAACCGGCGCCCGGCTGCGTGCGCCGATGCGTCGCCGTCCGCCCGTGAGAGGGCTACAGCAGCGTGGCGGCGGATGAGGCCATATGCGAGCGGGCCGCGAGCGCTGCTAGGGTTTTGGCTGTGTGGGGATATGTTGGGAAGATCTTGACCGTCTGTTGTCCTCTCATCGATCTGATGGTGGTGGAAGAACCGGCACCGTAGGCCAGGTGGACGACTGGATCGATCCCAATGCGGCATCGAACGGCGCCATGGTAGGTGAAACTCGGACGTGATTAACCGGAAGAACGGGGTGTTTTTGGAAAAAAAAACCAATGACGTGGCGCCCAAATTTTCCAGCACTCCCACGACGTTTAGAGAGATTAATATTTTGGAGATGCTCAATGTAACCTGCAAATTTTTTTTTAGAAAACTTAACCGTCCTCCCACAGCTATAAAACATCAAATATGTGTCGGCACTATAGGTGCCGGAAGTGCTAAAACCAGCACCTATAAGCCTTTTCCCACTTCCATGGGTTGAAATCGCAAAAAACGGCTCTAAATAAGAACCGACACCTATTCTATAGGTGTTGGTTTTCTTAAAAAACCGATACCTTTAATATATTATAGGTGTCGGTAAATTAAAAACCGACACTTATGAATTGAGCCGAGCCGGTGGGCCCCTCCAGCATGAGGCGATCGATAAGGTTCAACTCCCTCGGTCCCTCCTCATCCATGCATCCACTCGCGTCCTCTCTCTCTCTCCATCCCTTTCCTCTCTCTCCCTCCCTTCTCTCCCGCGGTTGGCGGCTAGCCGGCGGAGGTGGCAGCGGCGGCCGCACCCTCCCCTCCGCCAGATCCGACGGAAGGGGAGGCGGAGGCCGCGGCCGGCGGAAGGGCGATGCGGTGGCGGCGAGCGGCAGGAGGATGGCGGTTGGAGGCCGCGAATCGATCTCTTCCCCTCCCCTTCTTGTCCCTCCTCCTTTGTGTTTTGTATTATTTCCTCTGTAATTTGTTGAATATGATCTAGATGTGTTCATGGATTTGATGCATTTTAGTTCATGTGTTCATGGATTTGATGCAATTTTGGGATTTAGGTATTATTTGGGATCGGCTTGACGGCTTGATGCATCGGCCGATCTTTTTTTGGTTCGTGTGCGTCTCAAAGGTGCTGGTTTTGAAGCCGGCATCTTTAATCTCCTGTGATTTGTGTCGCCTTCATGGTGCCGATTAGGAAAACCGGCACTGAAGGGGGTTTCCCAACCAGCACCGAATCCCTATTTTGTAGTAGTGCCAAGAGATATGTACTAGAAATACCTAGGGATATTCTAGCTAGCTCTACAAGATGGTGAGCTAAACGACCTGAGTTCAAAGTCTCATATTTTCTAATTATTTAATATTAGGCCATTCTCTAATATTCGCGTTTATAGATATCTGTACGTGCACCTTAATTAATTGGAGATGCTGAACGTAACCGGCAATTTATTTCGAGAAAACTTGATCGATCAGTGAAAATTATGTTTCTTTTTTTGGCCTTTGGTCTCTGGTGACCCTATTGACAGCCTGTTAAAACCTATTTTAACTATCACGAAAAAAAACCGTATTGTAATAGTGGTGACGAAAACAAAACATGCATCAAAGATTCTTAAATCAGCTGGTTCCGTGGTTCGTGCACTCATAAGGCACGCAAACTAGCTGGTCGCGCGGCCACTTTCTCATAAGGGCATGTACAACCCACAGACGGTGGGTCGTCTGCAGAAACTCGAAATTCTCATACAGATAGATATAAAGACAGCTCATACAACCCACAAACAGAGGGGCCATCTGTAAGCTGTTTAATGCTTTGCATGTAGCTTAGATCAACTATAAATGTATTTGTATGTACCATTGTGTGGCTAATTGATAGAATAAATATGAAGATTAAATAATAGAAACGCGATTACAATAATTTTTAGAAACCATATATATAATAATTATATTATATATAGTTACAATGCTTTTTGTCTAATTTTCTTTGTTTCCGTAGCGTTGCCATATGTGCTCGATTAGATCCTTCTTAAGTTGCCTATGTGTTGGTCGAGCTTTGATAGCCGAATTTCTACGAAGTGCCTCTGCAAAGCTTGGATTAGGGTCATCATTTGTACGCACTTCTGGTGGGATCACTATCGTCGCACTTGGATTTTCATTCAAATCCAAGACATCCCTAACTGAGTCCTTCTCATCTTCAACTATCATATTGTGAAGGATAACACAAGCTTGCATAATGTTGATAACGTCTCCTTGCTTCCATAAGCGTGCTGGTCGACGAACAATATCAAAGCGTGATTGCAGAACACCAAATGCACACTCGACATCTTTCCTCACCCCTTCTTGCCTCAACGAAAATGTTTTATCTTCCGCTGATTGAGGGGCATTAACTGTCTTCACGAATACTGCCCATTCTGGATATATTTTATCGGCAAGATAGTAACCCATGTCATATTGATTTCCAATTACAGTATAGTGTACCGTAGGAGATTCCCCTTTTATTGCTTGAATTAACAGTGGTGACTTGTTTAAAACGTTAATGTCATTCTGAGACCCCGCGGTACCAAAGAAAGCATGCCATATACGAAGATTTTTTGATGCCACTGCTTCAAGGATCATAGTAGGAACACCTTGTTTACCACTTGTAAACTGACCCGCCCAACCTTTCGGACAATTCTTCCATGGCCAATGCATGTAATCGATGCTTCCCATGCACCCAGGAAAACCACGAGCCTCATTTTCTTGTAAGATTTATTCAAGTTCATCGCTTCTTGGAGGCCGTAGATATTCGTCACCAAATGTTTCAATCACACCTTCAGCGAATTTTCCCAAAATCTCCAAACAAGTGCTTGCAGCTATTTTCAAGACCTCATCAAGTTGATCAGCCGAGGTTCCATAAGCTAACATCCTGATGGCCGCTGTACACTTTTGAAGTGGTGAATGACTATTTCTACCAATAGCATCGACTCTTTGGGTGAAATAAGGGGACCAATCGCTAAGTGCATGCACGATACGCAGGAACAATGGCTTATTCATCCTAAATCTCCTACGGAACATGTCATCGGTGTAGATAGGATTTGCGGAAAAATAATTAGCAGATTTGCGGAAAAATAATTAGCAACAAGATCATCATGACCTTGTTCTCGATTCCTTGGTATGTACCTCCTTGGTCCACTCTGTCGACGTCGGCGATGTACAGTCGATGCTTCGATGCTTCTCTGTCCATGTCGGCCTTGAATCCCTCTGCTACTATTTCTTCAAAAATATCATCCTCTACGATTAAGTCTTCCACGGTGAACACCTCTTCAAACTCTTCGGCATCTTCGACTTCATCTTCTTCGTGCGGCTCCATTCAAAGAGTTACGATACACCTTGTTTGATGCAAGTGTTTGGATGGTGGAGTAGTGTACAGAGGAGCGCACAGAACAACGATGTTTTATAGAATAAAAAAATATGACCATTCATATTTACAAAAACTGATCGGCACCACTAAACTGATCAACTACTAGCATTCAAGCTACATTCAAATTCAGCATTTACATTTACATTCAAGTGGCACATTCAAGCTACTAAAAAGATCAACGTCGCACTACAGCGGCTAAACTGATCAACTGATCAACTCCAGCACCACTTAAAAGATGACCATTCACATTTACATTCAAGTTCAGCATTGAATTTCAGAAAACTGATCAACTCCGGCACCACTAAAAAGATGACCATTCCATTCACATTCAAGTTCACACACACAATTCAGAAAATCATGCGCAGTTTCAGTTCACATTCAAGTTCACAAAGCACAGTTTCAGTTCACACACACAGTTTCAGTTTCAGTTCACACTAAAAATATCATCCTCTGCGATCAGTTTCAGTTCACACACACAGTGTCAAGTTCACAAAGCACTGTCATTACCATTTAGAAAATCATGCGCAGTTTCACATTTAATTGGATTTCAGAATTTAATTACCAGGATACCTGAAACTGAAACTACCAGGATACCATAATTTCAGAATTTACATTATGGCCTATAGAGCAAAACTGAGTAAGGGAGAACTGAACATATATGGGTACTGAATAAGCAGAAAACTGAATTTGGCTGAGGTTCATATATGGCTGGGTACTGAGTAAGGGAAAACACGGCAAAACTACCAGTATACTGAACATTGATACTGAACATATATGGCTGAGGTTCATATATGGCTACTGAATATGCAGAAAACTGAATTTCAGAAAAAAAAAGCATGAATGAGCAGAAAACTGAACATATATGGCTGAGGTTCATATATGGCTACTACAAGTGCTAAATTTAACAAGTTTGTCACAGAATTTCAGAATTTAACAAGTTTGTCACAGAATACTAAATAAGCAGAAACTTCATATCTTCATACCAGAACTGGCTGAGGTTCATATATGGCTACTACAAGTGCTAAATTTCAGAACTACAAGTGCTAAATTTCAGAACTACACAGATAAGAAATACCTTCTCAAACAGTTTCAGGAAAAAGGGCCTTCATAAGACACTTCATCATCATAGCTCGCTGTGCCTTTTCCTCATCGGACATTGAACTTGTATCCTGTGAAACGAGGTTGTTATAAGTCTCCATCATCTTTGTCTCTTTATCAAGCTTCTTTCCTTCTTTGTACTCTTGTGCTGTAAGGTGGGCAATTTTTGTGGCCTCTAGCTTCTCAGAAGCTATCTTCTCTTGCCTGTCCAATAGCTTCATACGCTTCTCATTGTTTGCCTCCTAAAATTTACTGTATCTATCAAATTTGTCTAGCTCAATAGGAGAATCCTTTGAGTGACCATCATCACTACTGCTGGAACCCTTTAACTTGCCATTTTTAGCAGCTAGAGCTGCCTTTTTAGCTGCCTTCTGACCAATTGGTCGTTGTGGCATCTGATCACAAGTGTCCTCATTTTCCTCAGATTCTCCTTCCAGATGGAATGCTTTCCTTTTACGTGCATTCTTCAGGTTTTCATTATATGTTTTCCACTTTGGCACATCTCGGCAAATTTTCCAAACCTCTGTCAGCATATAAGGTCCAACCACGTCTTTGCATTCTTTGTTGTCATCCACATAGAACTTGTGTGCTGCATCAAGCCACATTTCAGCCGAATATCCACTTGTAAATACTCTACGAGCCTTAGCGTAAGCACATTCAAAGAGGTCTGTCCATTTATTAATCTTGTTCCATCTATCCTTGCATTGCTTCGCATTTCTTCTTCGAAGTGGAGGGGTAGTTTTGTTGTACGTTTCGACAACCTCACCCCAATATTGGACACCACCCTTATCCGCACCACAGGTAAAGTCGGTTGAATGTTCTAACCAAGCGCTCATCACTCTAACATCCTCGTCCGGAGTCCACATGATCCTCTTCTCGGTTCTAACACTGTCATTGCCATGTAATATTTCCACTTCGGGCGGTGAACTACCATTGTGTGCCTGATTCAGAGGACTCATGTGAATAACTGCACCAACCAAATGAGAGTTCTGTGCTTCATTTCCAAAATAGCTCATGAAACCACCAGGTGGACGTACATCTTGGTCCCTGCAGGAAATTGCAATTAACATGAAATTTTCCATGGTCCATCTACAAATAAAATTCAGATGCAGTAGTAGTACTATTGTGGCTGTATTTATGAAGGGTTAGAAGGTAAAATTAGCTTAAAATGATTTCGGCACAGAAGCTTAACATGAAATTAGCTTAAAATATGAAATTAGCTTAAAATGATCAGTTGACACAGAAGCTTGATGGGTATTTTTACTCTTTAAGAACAACTAACAAAGAGTACAATATGTTGGACACAGAAGCTTGATGGGCTCATTTTTATGATAATCATTTATCAGTTGAATATCTAACAAAGAGTTCAATGAATCACTTCTGGACATTGTTAAAATATGGTATAAAAGGGATCCAGGTACAACAGTATGGGATTTACAGATTCACAATGCTTAATATCAACTACAAAATTATCTAGATTCACAATGCCTAATATCAACTACAAAATCAGCAATGAAACAAGGATTTACCATGATCCAGGAGATGAGGGATCACCGCCGGCCGCATCAAACCAAGGTTGAGACGATGCATGGGGACCAATTGAGCTGGTGAAGTCACCTCCGACAGAACCATCAATGGAGAAAGCCGGGACGGTCGTCGCTGCCGCTACTGACCCGCGACCGTGTCCGCGAGAACGGGGCGGCGGTGGTAGCCCGACAGCGTGACCAAAAGAACCCCGACCGAATGAGGGAGCCGCCGCCGCCGCCCCGACACCTAGGGTTCGGCCTGGGGCCGTCGCCGCCGCATCCAATGTCCTCGATCCATTCCTTCTCCAAGCTGCGCCGGGCGTGGACATCCCGCCGCACCAACTCCGGCGAGAATACCAGATGGGGGGCGAGCAGATGGCGGCCGCGCAGATGGGCGGGCGAAGAAATTTGGGGCAAGTCGCGAGCAGAGCGCGGGAGAACAGCGCGCGTGGTTGCCTGGGAAATTTGTGGGCGAGCGCGGCCGCACGCGGGATCCGTTCGCCCGTCGCCTGGGGATGACGGCGCTCTACAGCGCGTGGGCTCGCGTCGACTCCACCTGGGAGAACGGGATGAACTCGTCGCGTCGGGAGGCGCCGGGCTGCCCGTCTCTGCGCGTGCACGGGTTTTTTTTGCAAAATCACCAACACACAGACGGGGCGAGGAGACGGGTTGTACATGCCCTAAGTCATAAAGCCTGCATGCAGCCCAGCTGACCTGCTGCTGTACACGTGGTAGAGAGAAACGACCACGGTCCTCCTGTTCACAAGGTTTTACACGAAAAACTGTAAACAGCGCACGATTCCTCTCTACACAATCAATTAATGTTAATTACCCTTTTCATATATACAGACCATCGTCCATAATTTACCTTTTTTACACATGCTAAACTACCAAAATGGGCATGCAAATATGCGGACTAATTAATCATGACATCAGCCTCATTTCAGGTTCACAGCTTGCCATGCAAAACATGCAGAGTTATATTTATTAACATTAAAGAATATTCAGTGAAAAAAACATTACTCAATCTATTGTACTGTTTGAACTCATGACAATTAAAGATTTTTTAAAAAAAATCAAGACGTGTCTTGTTCATTCTGGAGGTGTAGTAATATACTCCCTCCGTTTTTTAATAGATGACACCGTTGACTTTTTCTCACATGTTTGACCATTCGTCTTATTCAAAAAATTTATGCAAATGTATAAATTATAAATCACACTTAAAGTATTATGAGTGATAAAACAACTCATAACAAAATAAATTATAATTACGTAAATTTTTTGAATAAGATGAATGGTCAAACATATGAGAAAAAGTCAACGGCGTCATCTATTAAAAACGGAAGTAGTATTACCATGTCAACTGGACACAAAATGAAGAACATATACACCAATTTGATCGCAGTGACCAATTCTAACGACTATATATCGATATAATCGTATACAAATACAATTGTATATATGGAAATAGAGATATGAGTTGTATAAAATCTATATTTAATAAAAAATCTAGCCTAAAAAATCCGCTATATTTTTATTTTTAATCCCTTTGACGAATTATACAAAAGATGCTCTCAATTCTTTTGTCGATCTCACGCCAAGCCACATATATGAGTTCAAAGCTGAAGTTAACACGATAGGTAGCCTCGTGCTTTTTCTGAGGCGACAAATATCGTCTCCATTGGTCTGTCAGTAACAAAAACCCTCTAATTAACACCCTTTCATCTTGTACTTTAATTTCACCTCTTCACACAAACTGTATATGCTGTCTTTTACTTGACTTGTAGTGCAACCTTCCACTGTCACACATGACGCCTCCATCTGCAATGGCATCTTAATTAATCATCAGTAACTCCAATTTCCAAATAGCACGTACGCATGCATGCGTCCATGCCATCTCCTTCATCTGCTCGATCGATCACTCTCAGATAGATTGATTGATTTTACTATCTCGATCGAGTTGGTCGCCAATTCGCCATGGCCAGCAGCCTCATCAACCTCCTCCTCACGGAGGTGGCGGCCATCGTCAGCATCGTCCTCCTCGCCCTCCTCGTCGTGCTCAGCTCCTACCGCCGCCGCTCCGGCCACCCGGCGCTCCGCCTCTTCGTCTGGGCGGCCTCCACGCTCTTCCTCCCGCTCGTCTCCTACGCCGTCTCCGCCGCCGCCAAGTGGGACGCCGCGCGCGTCCCGCTCCTCCTCGCCTGGACCGTCTTCCTCCAGATGCTGCGCAACACCATCGACACCGCCCGCTCGTCCTCGTCCACGATCGGCAACGGCAGCGGCAGCAGCAAGTTCAGGCCCTCCGTCGAGCAGCTGGCGAGGATGGGCTGGGTGGCGTTCCTCATTGTCAGCAGCGACGGCACCGCCGGGAGCCCACAGCTCACCGGGGTGCTCCTGTGGCTGTGGGTGCTCAGCCTCGCCAAGCTCGTCCACCGCCTCGTTGCCGCCGAGCTCGCCAAGAACTCGTTCGCCGTCGGCCTTAACGCCTACCTCATCTCCGACTACATGAAGCAGCTGTACGGGCAAGACCAAGGAGACCACGACGTGCAAGCTCCTCCGTTGTTGGTGATGGGCGAGGAGAAGCTGCAAATCGAGGCGAGGCCACAGGGGTACCGCATTGGCCGGACATCGCCGCCGCCATTGTGCGTCGACGCCGGGCATGTGGTCACCATGGACCGGATATGCCGGCTGTTCTCCTCCGGCGATCCACTCGTCGCTTCTAACCCGCAGATCAAGGACACATGCCTCTCGTTCGCCCTGTTCAAGCTGCAGCTCCGGCGGTTCGTCGGGTGCCCCATCGCCGAGGCGGGCTCTCGCCGTTCGGTGGCGTTCGTGCTCGACGGCCTCCTCGGCGAGAGCCACGAGCGGGTGTTCCGGGTGATCGAGACCGAGCTGTCCTTCCTCGCCGACTTCCTCTACTCCAAGCTCACCGTCTTCTACGCGAGCGGGTGGTGGTTCCCGGTGCTCAACTCGATGCTCGTGTTCGCCACGTGGGTCAGCTGCCTCGCCGCCGGCGGCGCCATCGTGCACGACATGACGTGCCACGGCACGACGCTCGCCAGCAACTACGACAACCTGAGGGAGTACCTGCAGAACCACGACACCGTGTTCCACATCATCGTCGGCCTCGACGTGCTCGTCACCGTCTCCTTCATCGTCGCCATCGTGTTCACGGAGGGGTGGGAGATCGCTACCTACGTCCGCTCCGACTGGATCAAGGTGTCCGCCATCTGCGAGTACGCGCGCCGGCCGTCATGGCGCAAGTCGCCATGGACTCGCCGCAACGTCGGCCGAGTTCTCCCGCTCAAGCCAATGCAGCGCTGGGACGATCGGTTCGGGCAGACGTCCATCCTGCAGCTCCGTCCGTGCTACTGTGGCTGCGTCTCCCGGCAGGTTGACCGGATCGCCAAGTCGTCGGCCACTGTGCCGGCGGCGGTGAAGACGGCCGTCGTGGACACGCTAAGGACGAACCAAGGAAACCTGGGAAACGGCGTGCTCTCGTTGCAGCGGAACGGCGTCGCCGACAAGCTCGCCTGGGCGTGCCACCACGCCGGCGACGAGAGAAGCGTCTCCGAGCAGATCCTGGTATGGCATGTGGCGACCAGGCTTCTCGAGATCATGCGATCAGAAGGCGCTCACGGGAGACACGACGACGGAGACGGCGACGGCGGCGGAGACAGCGACACGGTGGTCGTCGCGACACGGCTGTCGCGGTACTGCGCCTACCTGGTGGCGCTGAAGCCGGAGCTCCTGCCGGACCACCCGGCCTGGACGGAGGAGCTGTACGAGGGCGTGGTGGAGGAGGTGTCGAGGGTGCTCGCGCGGTTCGCAGGGGCGGTGGTGCGGTACGAGCGCGCGGCGACGTGCCTCGGCGGGAGCACGAACGCGACGCTGAGGAAGGCGGCCAAGCTCGGGCGGCAGCTGGCGGAGGAGCTCGGCGGCGACGAGGAGTTGCCCTGGAGGGTGCTTGCCGATTTCTGGGCGGAGCTCGTCGTCTACCTCGCGCCGTCGGAGAACGTCACGGCGCATTCCAAGGCGCTCCGCCGTGGCGGCGAGTTCATCACCGTGCTGTGGGCGTTGCTCGGCCACGCCGGCATTGTTAGCCGGCCGGACACTGACGTCTGACTGACAGTGTGAGTGTGGTTTATGGCGAACACATGGTTTTCTTTCCGCTTTTGTCATTGTGTATACCAAACTGTCGACATGAGATGTGTTTGCCAAACTGTCGACAATTTATTTCTGATTTGCAATAGTAAAACAGTTTCCAATCCTTTACGAACAAGAAGCAGAGGTTCTTTTTATGAACACCGAATGATGTTGCATGATCTTCTTTAAAAAAAAAAATCTATAGGCATAAACATGAAGGAATTTTGCTAGACATCTCCAGCCAGGTGGCTTGAAAGGCAAGGCCGGAATCTGTCATCACATAAGCAAAAGCTTCTCTGGTCAGAAAACCAGGTTGTTGCACGCTGCATTGCGCAGCTGCAATGCAATCTTGAGACAGAATCATGTGCCGAGTCGAAAAGCAACGCAATGCAAGCTACCTGTTCAGCCAGACTAGGTGGCTAGCTTTTATCACCAGGCAGGGGGCATCTTTATCTTTCAGGTTGTCTGTATTGCCTATATTTTTTTTTATACCCAAGTCCCTAATTCAAGGGCAATGTTTATCTCTTGGTGCAGAATTCTAATATCTCAGAAGAGCTGGGCTTACCCTTTGATGTGGATTTGAGGATATCAGAAGATACTATGAGGTATCAAATTTTGTAGCATAAATTTTGATAGCTTCACATACCTCCCAAAAATTTGACAAAGTTGGCCCTTTCATCATTGATAAGGACGTTGAGAAAATCCTGGACTAGGAGAACAGCACAATGAAGCAAGTTGAATCGGAGATGGATTTAAATCTTCCGGGTGGATGTCCACCCGTTTATTGCATGCATGCCAACTAAATGGTTTTGAAAAAAATTTAAAAAATTTGACAAGATAGATTAATGCATAATATATAGGCAATAAATAAAATGTAACGAGTTTACATATATTTGCAGAAAATTTGTAATTTTGTTAAAACTTGTAGAAAATGTTTTTGAACTTGCATCTTTGTGGAATGATATATTCCATGCTTGTGGATGCTATAGCAAACTAGGCAGTGACCCAAACAAAAATAATCCTCTGGTACTTGTGGACCTTGTTAGGTCATTCACAGGGCACATACGTAACGTGTGACAATGTTGGTTCACATAGACAAATTGCTTGCGTGTAGGAGAGAGGGGAGTGGGGACCGCTCCTTCACCGGCTTCGCGTGACCATAGTTGGTCACTAGAACCTCCCACTCTTGCAGCAGTTCTCGATCAGAAAAAGTGGTCATCTGCGCGTGGAGAGAGAGAGAGAGAGAGAATGGGGGAAACAAAAGTGTCTGACTGAAGAGAAAAGCCGGATAGGGGTGCGGAGGTGGTGAAGTGGCGACGAGTCTGACCCCAACGAAGGTGCCCTCGCCGGGGACCTCGTTTGCCCACGCCTCCCACCTGCTTCGATCCGCGCCGGAGAGGGGAGAGGAGTAAGGGCGCTGAGCGAGGAAACCGGAGGGGAGATGAAGGGGCGATGGTGCCTGAAGCAGTGAGGGGAGGGGCGTCATCGGCTTGATCTGCCCCATCCGGCCACGCTGCCAGCGAGCTCGTCGCCCGCACCACCAGGTCCTCCTCGACCGCCACCGCTGCGTGGATTTGGGGTAGCCAAGGAAGGAGGCCACAAGGGGAGAGAAAGAGTGGTGGTGGCCGGAGCGGGCGAGGGAGGGGCGGTTGTGGTGGGCGGCGGGGTGGCTCGATCTTCCTTGCATTGCCACGCGGTCGTGCCAGCGGGGAGCTCCTCAACCGCCGCCAAGGGAGGAGGCCGAAGGGAAGAGAGGGAAGGGCGGTTCAGTGGTGGTGGCTAGAGTGGTGAAAGGGGGAGAGGAGAGCGTCGGTTTCGAGGAAAGGGAGAGTGAGAGAGAGAAGGGGGAAGGTGGAGGAAAAAAAGGGAAAACTATTTTTGTGGACCCCACTTGAGGTTACAACATTGTGAACCTTGTGTCTTTCACCATTCCTTAGCCTACGAGGGATGTGAGGTCCGGCAAACACATATGCCACATTGCTATTTCTATTGCCCTTATTGATCATTCAGTACAAGTTGATGTAGCAAGATCAGAAAATGCTGTCCAAGCAGATATGGAGGTAGAGTTTCATCGTAGCAAGCAGCGGTTCGGATTTTTGAAATGGGGTTCAACACTTCAACTGCTTTTAGTAATATGCTTAGCTTGTCGTTCCACCTTTAATAAAAAAAAAGCTTGTTGTTCCACCTGGATCTGGAATTTTGCATCAGGTGAACCTTGAATATCTGGGCAGACTTGTGTTTAACAATGGTGGTGGGATCCTTTGCCCTGATTAGCAGAATTGCCGTACTTACTTTGATACAGGATTTAAAAACTTCATATGATATTACATGTTAAAACTTTGTTTGGTTAATCTCACTAACAAGGGGATTGGAGGAGAATTAATTCCACACCTATCCCCCTCAATTTCCTTTGATCCCTTCTTCATGGGATTAACCGCACAAGACTTAACATGGGTATATGGCTGCATTACTATATATTAAGACGATATATAATAATTTTGTACTTTGACTTTTAACAATAACCGTAGGTAGACTTTTAGCTGATCTTAATAATCATGAAAAGAGATTGAAAAATTAAAATTGCCCAAAAAGCTCTTAGATTTATTCTAGAATCAAATAATACATTTATGTAACTACCCACTTTTATTTGCTTCAAACAAAAGCTATTCTTGTTACTCTCTTCTTTTACCTTTTAACTCTAAGGAGTACATATGAGAACCGATAGCTGGCCAAACAGGTGGCCTGGCCCAATGCGGCATGAGTCCACTGGCAACACAACCCGCTTTAGTACAATTCGTTAGGCACGACACCTGTAGCAGGCTATGCTATGTCGGCCTATGTGCCAAGGCCACGGCCCAAGAATAGCTCAAGAAGACACCGTGTTGTGCTGGGCCATCACAGCACGACTACTGTTACGGCTCGTGGGTCAATGACAGGCCCAACTGTACATATGACCTATGGAAATTGAAATTTGAGGTGGAAAAATAAAAAGCGAAAAAGAAATAGTGAAGGTGGAAAAATAGGAAAAGTAGTAAAAAGGATGGAAAATAATGAGTAAACATATGGAGGAAATGGGAAAAGGTAAGGGAAAATAGGAAAAATATGACTAATAAAAATAGGAAAAAATGGAAAATTAGGAAATATATACAGAAAAAATAGATGGGCCAGACAGGTCGTGCTCGTGCTTGCCCGTAGACAACCGTGCCATGCCAGCACAACCCACAGGCCAGTGTGCCGTGCCATGTCGTGTCGTGGGCTGGTACAATACAGTCATACTCTAGTCATACTCTGGCCTAGCTTGGCATGACCCATTTGGCCAGTTATATGTTATTGATAAGTGTGGTGATGGAAGTGAACCATTATCTTCTTTTAAAGAGGTATAAATCGCGTTGTAGAAATGGACTTACGCACAAACTATGACAGATGGCCTTGGCCGGTGTTTCTGATGGGTGAGTTGATGGTATAAAGGCAGAAGCTGCAATGCTTGGCCATGGGCAGCCAATGAGCATAGTATTGTCAGGGCTTGTCGGTTTCAAGTTAGAGTGACAAGGAAGCTGAGGAATACAGATTTGGTCCTAGCAGGGACATTTAACTTTTTGCCACTCGCAGTATATAACCTGTGGGTTCTCATGTGTCTATAATACGTGGGATCAATGACAAATCTTTAATTGCGACTTGTAAGAGTGGCAAATAATTAATTATTCCTAACTCGGGAATGTTTACTTCAGGCTGATAGGAAACATGGTGTTTTGTCGGTTAATTTGCTGAATTTTACGGGGGAGGCATGAGTGAATTATCACTGCAGGTTGATAGGGCTACAATCGCAAACATGGGATTCGAATCCAATTGTAATGCTGGGAGCTGCTATAGTTGCCAAAATGGCTTGCGAATTAGGCCTTGAGGTCAAGCCATGGATTAAGACAAGTCTCACACCAGGTTCTGGACTTGTGAAGAACTATGGTTGTACTACTTGCTTAGGAAATTCTGGAGAACTTGATATGTATCTGCTGCAATTGATAACAATGATATTAGAGTAAATTTTATAAAACTACATGTACTTTACACGATCTTATCATAAAACTACAGATTTAGTATCTTTGTTTATTACAAAACTACAGATACTTTACACAATATATCACAAAACTACAGATTTAAGAACTTGTTTCACAAAACTATATATTTAGTGTCTTCATTTATTACAAAATACAGAGTTAGTGTTTTCATTTATCACAGAACTACACATTTAGTATCTTCATTTATCACAAAACTATAGATTTAGTGTCTCCATTATCACAAAACTATAGGTTTCAACAATGCTAAAATATGTAGTTTGTGATAATAAAGACATTAAACCTTTAGTTTTGTGATAAATGAAGATATTAAATCTATAGTTTTATAAAACAAGTTTTTAAATATGTAGTTTTGTGACAAATTGTACAAACCAGGAATTGAAGAGGAGTGTGCACATGTGTACGTTTGTACTATATTTCTAAAAAGAAGAAATATGCCAGGTTTTTTACGTAATGTCGTGATATCTTTTGTATGGGGGTGTATAATCGGGCAATCACTCGTCTGGAAAAATGTTTTATTTATCAGTGTGAAACACGCAATCCTCGCTCCGATGATGCTCCCCAAGTGCATCTGAAATCCTATAATATTTAAGTTTTTCATCGGTGCCTTTCTATTTATCACAAATACTGTAGTAATTTGAGGACCTATTTGTCCATTAAACAGCAAACAATTAATTACAGGTGCTCCAAGCAAACAACTTTTAACCCCAAATCTAATGCATTGTCACTATACATGTACACTTGTGCTACAATAAAGTCAAAGCGAAAACCACATATATAAATCTATTATGTACAAAAACATGATACTTGAGTACTATTGTACTCAACCAAAGTTTATCTTATGAGCGCTGGAGAAATGTTTAGCCGCCCTGACCATCTCGCCAGCCGCATCATACCCTGCGCGGCCACCGGCGGAGCCAGAGCTCGCCACCACCTTTGAGCCCAATCGCGCGAACCAAGACGCCACGGCCAACCACAAACTGGAGCCGGATTTCCTCTTCTTGCCTCCCATGACTAAACAGTTACTACAAAAACGACTGTGTG